CAGTGGCTCCTCCTGCTGACACATCACTCATCTGTAAGAATTCCAGAGTATTATCAGAAGCACTGGTATAATAAAGTTAAATATGCCATTGTGAGGAAGATAGGATACTGCACAGAATATGAGAATATCTGGACTTATACCTAACATAGATAGGTTTGTGCATGCTACTCAGTTTTTAAACAAAATGCTGTTTAGGTTTACATACTAAGTAAAAAAATAAAAAGCAAAGAAATGATACAGTCAGGAAAGGTGATAAGGATATCTTTTATGTCTTATAGCTAGAGGTAAAAAGATTATTTAAAACCAATACACCAAGTAATACAGGGGTATAATTATGCATTTATTGCACTAAAGTATAACCTCCATGGGGACAGGACTTTTCATTTGTTCACTGCTGAGCTTTAGTGTCTACAGTAGTAATAGTAGGTGCTCCTAACTAGGTATTTACCCAAGGAATATGAAAACACTAATTCAAAAGGATATATGTACCCCTGTTTATTACAGCATTATTTACAATAGCTAAATTATGGAAGAAGCCCAAGTATCCATTGAAAGATTAATGGATAAAGAAGATGTGATGTATATATGCACAATGGAATATTATTCAGCCATAAAAAAGAATGAAACCTTGCCATTTGCAATGACATGGACAGAGCCAGAGAGTATTATGCTAAGCAAAGTAAGTCAGAGACAGACAAATACCATATGATTTCACTCATATTTGGAATTTAAGAAACAAAACAAAGGGGGAAAAAAAGAGAGAAACCAAGAAATAAACTCTTAACTATAGAGAACACACTGATGGTTACCAGACGGGAAGTCAGGGGTGGATGGGTTAAAGAGGTGATGGGGATTAAGGAGTGCACTTGTGATGAGCACCGGGTAATGTACAGAAGTGGTGAATCACTAACTTGTACACCTGAAACTAGTATCACACTGTATGTCAACTGTACTGGAATTAAAATCTTAACAATTTTAAAATGTAACCTAGAATAAAAACACAAATCTTCCAAATTGAGGAAGCACATGCACAAAATGAGACAAAGGAAACACAGATCATAAAGACTGTACCAAAAAGCAAAACCCAACTGTTGCTACATCCAAGAGTCACATCTAAAACAAGGGACTTAAACACTGAAAACAAAAAGATTTGCCAGGCAAATGTTATATCAAAGAAAACAGTTTGATCTTAATGCTTTTATTTTGATTTAAACTGTGCCTGATATTGAGATAAATAACGGTATTTTACTATGATAAATACAGCATCAGTAGCAAAGCGCTATCAGCTCTGTAAGCAATGAAAAAACAATGAAAAAGTTGTGCTAAATGGCCCATCTAGGAACAGTATTTAAACAATGGGGGGGGGCATGAATTACTAATCTAATCAAAATGCTATATAATTAAAGAACATATTAGTAATTAACATAAAATCTAATGGTCAAATCTAATATTCATGGATATTGGACCAAGTAATACAGCATCAATATTCATAAAAGAAAAAAAATATCTCTTAAACATCAGAAAAGATGACCAACCTCTCTAATAAGAGAAATGCAAATTAAAGCCACAAAAACTGCTAGTCTAATAAGTGAAAGATGTACAGATCAAAGTCTGACAAACATCACACTTAAAGGTGGGATATAAATTGGTACAATAATGGAAGTTCACCTCTAAAAAGTATACAAGATTTCACAGCATGAATTTTGTATAATGTATCAAGCTTCTCCCCTGGTTTTCCCTTTGTGGTAATTCTCTCTCATCTTTAACTTAGTTATATTACAGTACTTAAATCTTTTTGGAAACAGATAAAGTTGTAAGAGGGGAGGGTGGGAGAATAATAAGGTAGGAAGGTGAGAAGGTAGGTTGAATAGAGGGAAAGCGGAATGGAGGAAATAGAGTAAAAGACACACAGGGAAGGTGAAGGGAGCAATGAAGAAAGAAAATGAGACTGAGCAGAGATACACGGATTTTGGTAGAGAGTGAGAATAAAACAGCAAAGAGATGCCATTTTCCTATCATTCAAATGGGGACGGGATAGAAAGTGTAATGAAATAAGCAAAATTTAAGTCTAGATATAAAATACATTTTTTAAGTTAACAAAGGTTACTACTGTAGATTATATTTTCCAAATATTATACCAATATGCCCTGACCTACATGTTTTTTTACATGACACCAATATTCTTATCGAGTGGTAGAGTTTATGTCCTCTCCCCCTGAACCTTGGCAAATCTTTGTAATTGCCTTGATTAATAAAATGCAGAAGTGACATTGACTTCTGAGGGTAGGTAATGAAAATGCCATGCATTTCAGCCTTGCTTTTTGTGGAGACATGAGCTCTTGTAATCCAGTCACCATGCTGGGAGGAAGCCCAGACCACATGCAGGTATTCTGGCCAAAGCCAGTCTCAACCTCAGCCTTCAAAATGACCCCAGTTCCAGTCATCCTCTGACTGCAAATGCATGAAAGATCCACAGCAAGAACCAGGAGTGAAGCCCGCTCAACCTCACAACCAAGAGAGATAGAAACCTGGAACACTACATCAAAAACTAACGATGTACTGTTAGTGACTAACATAACATAATAAAAAAGTTATTTTAATCCATTCAGTTTTGTGGTGATTTGTGGTTATTTGTTATGCAGCAGTAGAGAACTGGAGCAAATATTATGACCAAAGTTAAGACTGTTCAGTTCATATACCTAAACATATAGAAAAAATTAAAAAATACCATACTGTTTGAAACTTTAATAAACAATGTGAAAATGGTTAGTTACTCTTAATGGGGCTGCCAAGGTGCTATAATGTGCTATTATCTTGATCTAGCTGCTGCTTACACCAGATGTGTTCACTGTGAAAATTTATGAAGTTAAATACTTATGATTTGTATACTTTTTCTGATATATATCATCAAAAAAATTCAAAATATACAGAGGTACTTATATATGCATATTAACAGTCCATACTCCAAAATATCAACAATGATTATCTCCAAGTATAGAGACTGTTAGTAATTTCAGCATTCTTATTAATCTGAAAAAGTTGCAAAAAAAAAACCCTCCACTTACTCAGTTGTAAAAGCTTTAAATTAGAATGTTAAATAAGGTCTAAGGAAAACAAACATCTGAACACATCAAAATAAATGTCATGTAATAAAATCCCATCTTAAAATAAAAATTTTAGCTGTAACTTACATAAAACAGCCATGTAGCAATTCTATTTCCTGTCCCCAGCTCTTTGAAAGCATCTGGTTCATCTTTCTGTGAATAAAACACAATGAAATTCAGTAATGCAAATTATCTAGTGGCACCTAAACACCAGTAATATGCTAAAGGATATGCCTAACCCCAAAAGGTTCATTTATAATGTCTGGTGCACAATATATAGCAGTCACTTAAATACTTGTTGGATTTCAATTCAGCTTGTACAGTGAATACTTTTGGTAAGACCATTGCAGGCAAAAAACCCCCACATTTATTAGCCTAAATAACGAAAACCAATATCTACTATCTACAGATTATTAATAAAATTCATGCCTATAGTTTTGCTTCCAAAAAGACAGAGCCTCATAGCTACATTTATGAACTCTGTTCTCTGTGGGTAAAAAGTTTATTTTGAGATTTACTTTGAACTCATTATCCATTCAAATGTTTACTGTGACTATGCTTGTCATTCTTTTAGACAGTCAGCACTTTAATCTGGCTGGAGAATTCACATCTGGCTATTTAAATCTAAATTAGGGGTGCCTGCACGGCTTGGTCCGATAAATGTATGCCTTAGCTCAGGTCATGATCTCAGGGTCCTGGGATCGAGCCCTGTGTCGGGCTCCCTGCTCAGCAAGGAGTCTGCTTCTCCCCTCTCCCTCTGCCTCTGCCCCTACCCCCTGCTCGTTCTCTGTCTCAAATAAATAAATAAAATCTTTTTTTAAAAATCTAAATCAAAATACAATACAGTCTCTTGGCAGTTATCCCAGGAAAATGAAAACGGATTTTTCACACAGAAATTTACACACATCTTTATGTGTGACAGCCCCAAACTGGAAACTACCCTAACATCCTTCAAAGGATGAGTGACTAAACAAACTGAGGTGTGTCCATACCATAAAATAGTACTCAGCAATAAAAAAGGAACACACTGTTACATTCTGTAAGAACATGAACCTCAAGGGAATTATGCTGAGTGAAAAGAGAAGATCTCAAAAGGATACATACTGCATACAAGTCTATCTAACATTTGTGAAACGACAATTGAGACAGGTTAGAGGAGTGCTAACCAGCAGTTAGGAACGGGTAGCAGAAGGGTATGTGCAGCTACAGAGCAGTACTATGAGGGAGTCTGGCAGCGATGGTGCACTTATGCACCCTGACTGTGGTGGTAGTTTCACAAAACTACACATGTAATAAAACTGCATAGACACACACACACCCAAATTAGTGTAAATGTAACTGGTGAAATATGAATAAGCTCGGTGGCTTGTGCCAATGCCTATTTCTTGGTTTTGATAATGTGCTACAGTAATGGAAGATGTTAACAGTGGGGGAGGCTGAGGGAACGGTTCACGGGACCTCCCGGTACATTTCTTCACAACTTCCTAAGAATCTGTAATGATTTCTAAAAAAAAAAACTAAGAAAAAAATTTAGTTGCACTAATATCAGGACTTGAATTATCCTCTTTCACATCATCCAAGACTCTCAGACATTTTTCAATAATTGAAGAAACTAAAAATATATTCTTTGCTGGCCTACACAGAAGAGTCTAGGGTTCTGGGATTTAAGATGGTCAAGGGCTATAACACAATAAAAGCTGTGTTTTCTTTCAAAAGAATATACTCATTTTAAAATGGTAATAGATCAATAAATTTATTAAAGTACCTGAGGCAGTTTAGTTCTTAGAATTCATTTAATTTAAAAAAAAAAAAGAATTCATTTAATTTTTAAAAAATACTTCTCCCTGAATTTATTTTAATTTTTTTTTTTTAAGATTTTATTTATTTATTTGACAGAGAGTATGCATGTGCACAATCAGGGGAGCTGCAGAGGGAGAGTGAGAAACAGGCTCCTCACCAAGCAGGGAGCCTGACGTGGGGCTCAATCCCAGGACCTCGGGATCATGACCTGAGCCAAAGGCAGACGCTTAACCTACCGAGCCACCCAGGCACCCCTAGAATTCAGGTAATTATGATAAAGCTTAATTAAGATTTGATAATGTATAATTTATAGCTTAATGTGAAAAAAGTTACACCTTTTTAGCAAACTGCTTCGATATTATTTATTCTCCAGTGTCTCTACATCTATTTTGTATTTATCTTCCTATCTCTCAGCATATTCTTGTAATTTCTTCAGATTTATCAGCTAATTTACTAATTCACTTCAACTGTCTCTAACCTGTTTTAATTTATCCAAACTTTAAATTTCAACAATTACTTTTTTCTACCTAGAGCTTCCATTTGTTTTTCAAATGTTAAATCATTTTGAAAGTTTATTAATTTTTATCCTTTAATTTTTAGAAATATTATACAGTTATTTTATATTCTGTATCTGATAACTACCTAACATCCTGGGGGCATCTAAATGTGTGGGTTGTTTCAGTCTCACCAATGGTGTCTTATTACCAGTTAGTAATTTCTAATCAGTTCCTGTTTGGCTGACCTTAATCTTTAAAATTCCTGAGGTGTTAGAATGAGGATGCCTGTTTTCTGCCAGGTACCAAGGAGCACTACCTAACTGAAAAACTTTAATTTCTCCTCTTCCAGGGTAGTGAAAATTCAAATCCAAGGTTCATGTGGGAGCAGGCCTATGCTTTCAAACTTCCAGAAAAGGCTCTCATACACATTACATCCCCACCAAGGTGATGACAGGCAACTCCCCTTAAGGCTCCTAACTCAAAGTAGATTATTTTCAGGCTATTCGTTCTCTGAGGGTGTAATCCTTTTGGAGATTCAGGTTTTATGCATGGGTCTCTCAGGTTCAGTAGCCTGCACAGTGGTAGGTTCTCTCACAGAGCTGTTAGTCCCCAAAGCTCTATATTCCTGGAGGCACATGCTTTCAGCTTCAGCTTTTCTGCCACCCCCTTTAACTCTAATTTTAGTTTCTAAGTTTTCCTTGTTCATTTTGCCTTTGGGAATTTCCTTTACTTTCTTCCAGGCTCAGCAATGCATTTAAAAGTATCTAATTTTTTTTACTGTGTATCTAAGGGTTTTTTACTGCTAAAAAGGTTTTATAGGGTATCTATTCCACCATGCTTCCACAAATTGCAAACAGACTATAAATTTTTAATACTAAAATAACAGAATTAACACGTCATGCCTGAGTTTCAGCAGAACTCCTACCGTCCCCATTTTTTTTTTTAAGATTTTATTTATTCCTTTGAGACACAGAGATACAGAGAGAGAAAGAGAGAGAGAAAGCATGAGCAGGGAGAGAGGCAGAGGGAGAGGGAGAAGCAGGCTCCTCGCTGAGCCAGGAGCCCGATGTGGGGCTCGATCCCAGGACCCTGGGATCATGACCTGAGCCGAAGGCAGACGCTTTACCATCTGAGCCACCCAGGCGCCCCCTTCCCGATTTTTTTTTACTTACCCGTGCAAAATCAAAATGGGGTTCATACTGTCCTCCAACTCCATAATTTGCTACCTGAAGGAGAGGAACAAAGTATGTGTTAAAAAGAATCAAGACTACTATTCAAAAAATTTGTAAGTCCTATTTTGGTGTCTTATATGTCATGGTTATGTAGTCCTAGAGAAATAAGAAGCAAAGCAGTTTAAATCAATGAGAGTTCCTAAGGAACCAAGGACAAAAATCTAAGGACAGCTACTATATGATTATTTTAGAACCTTAGTTAATATGTTTTTCTTTAGCAAATGTTTCGGGTACATGTTTTCCTCTAATACATAACTTAAACTAAAATTTGAGTTAGAATTTTTAAATTAGGGCACCTGGGTGGCTCAGTTGGTTAAGCGACTGCCTTCGGCTCAGGTCATGATCCTGGAGTCCCGGGATCGAGTCCCACATCGGGCTCCCTGCTCGGCAGGGGGTCTGCTTCTCCCTCTGACCCTCTTCCCTCTTGTGCTCTCTCTCATTCTCTCTCTCTCAAATAAATAAATAAAATCTTTTAAAAAAAAGAATTTTTAAATTAAAATGTTATAATTTTCTAGAATCAGGGTTTTGAGATTTCTTTTTTTTTTTAAGATTTTATTTATTTATTTGACAGAGAGACACACAGCGAGAGAGGGAACACAAGCAGGGGAAGTGGGAGAGGGAGAAGCAGGATTCCCGCAGAGCAGGGAGCCTGACGTGGGGCTTGATCCCAGGACCCCGGGATCATGACCCGAGCCGAAGGCAGATGCCCAACGACTGAGCCACCCAGGCGCCCCAGGGTTTTGAGATTTCTATTAATTTTTACTAAACATTTTCCTTTGTAATTTAAATCAAGACTCATGTTTTCCAAAGCCCCAAATGCTGGGAAACTCCCAATCTATTTTAATAAAATCTCCTCCTACATATTTTTTTTTACCCTAAGGTAAAAGAGGGAGGAAGTTAACATGAAACTTAATTATTCCTGCTGGAGGGCCCTAACAATTTCAGTTGATAATGACAATCTCAGTGTGAAGCAGCAAAAGGAAGTAAGAAAAGTATCTCTAAGTTCTAGTCTTCTCAGTTATAATATATGTAACTTTCAGTACAATCTCAGTTTTCTTATTTATAAACTAAGGAGAATGATACCTTCCTGAACTCCTTCCTTGCATCCCAATATGACAAAATGAAAGGAGAATGTAATTGAAAGAGCGCTGCTGATGAAATGAAAGAACATAATTAAGAGAGTGCTGCCCACAGCCCGGCTGAGATACAGCACAGAAGAGGCAGCTGGAAAAACGTGTGGGGTATACAGGAGGATTTACTAATCTCAGAGCACGTGCTGGACGGACAGGGATTTGGGGGACACTTCTCTAAGAACAAAATAGCTAGAAGGTGTCATTTCCCTTCCTTGTTCCCCCAGCCTAGATATGCAGAGACCTGTGGGAACCTGGGCAGCAGAACACTCTCCTGCTCACAGTGAGAGCCCTGGCTCCACATTCTTCCGCACACACGCCCCCTCCCATCCCAGGCAGCTTCAGGTCTTTCTCACACAGCAGATCTGCATGAACCTTACTAACTGCAAACCTCCTCCTTCCCTAGCTCTTCTATGGACCCACCCCTCCATTCCAGCCTGGGCAGTTTTCCCAGGGGCTGGAAGCCCTCACCTGCAGAAACCTGTGCAGATCTTGCTAGCACCATGAGCCCCAGCTCTCTCCAATACACTCTTAGCCAGAGTCCATCCAAAAGAGTGCCACAAGCCTAGAAGTGTGCAAGTAGCCCTGCCAGGGGCCTCCACCACTCCAAAGTGACTCCTGCCCTGGGGAGAGGTGAAGATAAATACATGCACCTGTCAGATTGTGGCCCAGCAGGGGGCCAGTCTGATTGCAGGCTCCACCCTCCAACAAAAGCTTCTCAGGGCAAAACACAGGGAAAGCACCCGGCAGTTCAGTTCTATTGAATTTTTGGCAAACATCTGATCTGACTCAGTTTTAGCCTACAGTGGCCCCAGACTGGCCCACTAACAACACAGGGACCAAAACCTGCTCACAACAGGCAAGGAGAGTCATTACAGACAACCGGACTAAAGGCAAACTTGGCTCAGCAGCAACAGTAGGGTGCATGCAACATACAGAGGAGATACCCTTGAAGCACTGGGTTCTGGTGAACAGGGGACATTGCACTGCAGGGCACTACAGGACCTCTTCTTCATAAAGCCACTACTTTCAAGAGCAGGAGACACAGTTGACTTACCTGACACATAGAAACAAACACAGAGAGTTAGACAAAATAAGGGGACAGAGGACTATGACCCAAAATGAAAGATCAGGACAAAATTACAAGAGACCTAAGTGAAACAGAGGTAAGTAATATACCTGATAGAGAATTTAAAGTAATAGTCATAAAGATACTCACTGGACTTGAGAACAAAGTGAAGGACCTCAATGAGACCCTCAACAAAGAGATAGAAAACATAAAAAAGAACCAGTCAGAGTTGAACAACTCAATAACTGAAATTAAAAATACACTAGAGGGAATAAATAGAACAGAGGAAGTAGAACAGAGTAAAGGAAAGCAGTCAAGTTGAACAGGAAAGAGAAAAAAAGATAATAAATGAAAACAGACTAAGAGAACTCAGTGACACCATCAAATGTAGTAATATTTGCATTACACAGATTCTAGAAGGAAAAGAGAAAGAAAAGGAAGCAGAAAATTTGAAGAAATAATAGCTGAAAAGTTCCCAAATCTGGGGAAAGAAACAGAAATCCAGCTCCAGGAGGTACAGAGAATCCCCAACAAAATCAACATTAAAGTCCACATCAAGACACAAAGTAATTAATATGGCAGAAAGCAGTGATAGCAAATTTTAAAAGCAGCAAAAGAAAATAGACTACTATATGCATATGATGTTATATATAAACCTCATGGTAGCCATAAATCAAAAACTGGTAATAAATGTGCAAAAAAATAAAGAGAAAGGAATTCAAGTGTATCACTAAAGAAAGCCAGCAAAACATGAGAGAAGAGAACAAGAAAAAAAGGAAGAACTACAAAAGCAACCATAAAACAAGTAACAAAATGACAATAAGTACATACCTATCAATAATTAATGTAAATGGACTAAGCACTCCAATCAAAAAACAGGGTGACAAAATGGATAAAAAAGGCAAGACACATCTATATGCTACCTACAAGAGAGTCATTTCAGACCTAAAGACACATGCAGATTGAAAGTGAAGGGATTTTGTAAAAGCATTTATCCTGCAAGTGGAAGTGAAAAGAAAGCCAGGATAGCAATACATATACTGGACAAAACAGATTTTAAAACAAAGACTGTAACAAAAGACAAAGAAGGACACTATATAATCATAAAGGGGACAATCCAACAAGAAGATATAACAATTGTAAACATTTATGCACCCAATATGGGAGCACCCAAATACATAAAACAGCTAATAACAAACAAAGGGGGGTGCCTGTGTGGCTCAGTCGGTTAAGCGTCTGCCTTTGGCTCAGGTCATGATCTTGGAGTCCTGAGATTGAGCCCTGTGTCGGGCTCCCTGCTCAGCAGGGAGTCTGCTTCTCCCTCTCTCTGCCCCTCC